CCCATGCCCGGCGAGTTTTATGATTGGCTCGAATTCGGTGTATTGGTGGTTCTTCCACCGCTGCTGATTCACTCTGTTCAAGGGTCACTTCCAGTGGCACCTCAATGTGGGGGGTTTCTGCGGGAGGTTCCAGGTTCGGAAGTTCAAGGATCGGGCTTTCTGTGTGAGTGGCGGCTAGATGAGAGTACAAGATCTCCTTGTCTGGGACTTCTTCTATCATTACTCGAGGAGGCTTTACCGAAAGTCGTCCTTTCTCCCAATCAATCTCCGGATTTACCTTCCGTAGCCAGGGGAGTCCAAGGATGATGTCTTCACCTCCTGGGTTGGTGATCAGAAAGTCCATCCATCGCTCTTGATTATCCACTGTGAGTGCTAGACGTGCAAAATGGGTTATCTGTCCAGCTCAGTTAGGTGTTCCATCGATATTAAAAACGTCGATTGGTTTATGAAGGGGTGCACATCTTACATGGTTCCAGGTGGCAAAGTCTTGGTTTAAAAACAGGGTGGTAGCTCCACAGTCTACCATGGCTGCAGTTGTTATACTATGATTCCTTCCTCTTAGTCTCACATGAATTCGGAAATGTGGGGAAGTGGAGTTAAATTCCCGGATCGACGATATTGTACATGATGGGTGCGAGTCATACGAAGAAGTAGCGAACACAACAAACTGATTATGGGTACTCTCAGTGCAGCCGAAGCGGGTACCCTCTTTAAAAACCCTGTTGAAAGCCAGAGGACGAGGAGGACATAGCATTAGCACGATCAAGTAATTCCCTTATTTGACCAATCTGGTTGGAAAAGTCCTGGTTAGGGGGGCTCGGAGTAGCAGGTACGGGTGCAGGAGCAGATGTTAGGGTCGAGGAAGCAATCTGGACGGATTCATTTGGGAACAGGGAGAATGGCGCGGGTCCTGTAGCAGATATCTGTTGGCGTCGAGGTTGCTGGCGTCGGCCTCGGTCTCGTCCGAGTCCCATGAACTTGTCTTGGCAGACTGCTTCCAGATGTCCTCAGCGTCCACAGTAACGGCAGGTGGTTTCTTGGTGTGGGCAGTTTTGCTTGACATGACCTTGGGCACCACAGCCAAAGCACCGTCCTCGCATGCGAGCTAGGTATGCCTCCCTAGTATTCCCATTACTAGTGTGGGTTGCATCAATGTCCATAGCGTGGGGGTCAGCAGGGGTAGTGTGAGCGGTATGTGTGGGAGGGTATCCAGAGTTCCGGCCAGTCATGGTGGGATCGTGCAGGTAGACATCCACCAATATGGCCCATTTGATTGCCTCCTTCAGAGTCAGAGCAATTCCTTGGGCAATGTTTATGGTGATGAGATGTTGTCGGATCTCTGGGAGTAACGCAGTGAAGAAACGTTCCCGCAAGTCAATATCAGACATTTCAGTCCGATCTCCGATATCCTTGAATTTCTGAGCGAATTCCGCAACTGTCTGCCCTTTACTTTGTGTGAGATTCTTGATCTCGCTACGGGCTTCCATACCTGGGTCCATTGGTTCAAACCGTTGGCTAAATTCCTTCAAGAACATATCCCAATTTCCTCCAAAAGGGGGATTTTCTGCACTGAAATGTAGCAGATGGGGGGTTGCCCAATCTCCGGCACTTTCTGTGAAGAAGCCCAAGGCGGACTTGATGAGTTTTACTTGGCTTTTGGCGAGATCAGGTTGTTCTGACGCCCAATTTTGGAACTGAGCCATGAAGCGACGAGCTTCAGCACCATCTTTACCCTTGAAAACCTCGGGTTTGTTCATGCTTGACTTGGAGGATGAGCGTTCCTCCATAGCTGTAGCAAGGTTAGCTACTTGTCTGATGAGCTGAGCCATGAGATCCTCAGCAGAGGTATTTGGGGCAGGCGGGACAGGAGTCGACATGATGGGAGTAGGCAATCGGGGTTGGGGAATTGGCAGGAAGGTTATATTGCTCACAGTGAGTGGCTCTTGGATTGAGTTGGGAAGGGCGTTGGGGCAAGGTTAAGACTGGCAATCGCGCCAAGTATTGTCGTTGTTGTGGGCGTGAGCTTGGTCTCTGGGGTCAAGTGCATGTGGGAGTGCGGAGCAGTCTATACTGGCAGCAGGTGTTTCAGAATCGGGCGGGACTGGGGAAGACGTGGTGTCTATGGATCCTGCAAGGACAACCTTATCAGTAGGCTGTCAGTGCAGTAATGGATCTTGACCTAATGTCACAAAGCGGCAGAGGCAGAGTGACTAGCGGAGCAGGAAAGCGGAGTGACTAAGTAAGGCAGCAAGGCAGAGCGGCTAAGCAGGTCAGTGAGGCAGAGCGACTAAGTGGAGCGGAGGCAAACTGGTCCCAGATAATGACAGAGATATATTGAGTATTGTAGTCATAGGTAATAGTAAGTAAGCACATACCTGGTCCCAGATAATGACAGAGAGGTCAAGATAAGGGACCAGGCTGTGGAGGGTTGGCTATATATACATAATCCGGTCTGCGAGAAACAACGATGTAATACTGTACAGTTCAGGGGCAAGGAAGGTGGCAGAAGCCGGTAGAAAGAGAAGATTGGTCAGGTGGATCAGTAATCAATGGGGGTTTGACAGTGATGGGATGATGTATTGTACAAGTAAAGGCGTCGAGACGGTGAGAAAAGGAAAATGATAGGGGCTGCGTACTTTATGACAGAGTCAATTATGCTCACTCATACAAAGAACATACAAATCCATCGGGGACTTCGACGTTAGAGACATTCTTTATTCAGGAAGTTGAGGTTTCCTGTGAGAATGATGCATTCCTCTGACACAACAGGGATGGTTACGCATGGGGCAGGTTGAGGGACTCAGAGCATGCAATAATCGTCGCTGGGGTGAGCTAAGAGTGAGGACAAATAATAGGTATATGTAAGGATTAGATAGTAATATCGAAGGCAAGGCAAGTTGAATATTAATGAGTCATTGAACATACTGTAGCTGCAGAAATGCCCTGAATGCAGACAACTGCAATAAGGACAATAAAGAAAGTTTTGGTAGAGAACATATTGAGCTGTAAGTAGTTCCGAATACTGGTCACCAGATGCAGTGTGACCATTCGAAGTTGCAACTGCTGACACTGTGGGGATGAGCCAATGTCTTTGTGGTGAAAATGTAGAGAAAATGCAAGGATTTTTACCAAAATTCATTGAAAATCCTGAGCACAAATTTTAATACTTTTTGTGTGGCGATTATTATGAAGCTATTGTGAATTTGGCAGGGGGCCATGCTTATTTTAAATTATCTTTTCATAATTTTACCATAACCTCAGCTTAATCCCTTCAAAATATCTGCTGCCATATCTTTGTACATAACCTCGAGATAAAACCCACATTTTTGCCTTGAGGAAATCGGCTCATCCCCGCAGAGTGAGAAAACAACCCGAGTTCGATCATGAGCCACTTTCTCCATCTTGATGTTAACTGCAATTGCGGAAATTGTTTGCTTCCAGAGCAGTATTTTAAAGAGGGTATGATAAGGATGGAGGAAATGCAGGTAAATTTGTGCTAATGCTGAAGCATCTGTTCTAGAACTACAGAAGGCGATTTGAGATATATCCAGGTTTAAAGTGATCCCAAGACTGTAATGTGCTTCGTATCTAGCGCGCGAGCAGTTATAGGGACATTCGATAGGATATGCTGTAGAGGTAATTTTGCCAAATGGGATGCATTGGATTCTGATGAACACAAATACCCCCAGGTACATTAACAATAGCACCCCATCTTTGAGGGTTGCAAAGTGGAAGTACAATGAGAACCATAGCAATTAATAACTGGATTGAGCACTGCATAGATAGTTTTCATCACAGAGCAGGAATAGCAGTATTGTCGGTACTCCTCTGGTTGGGCGATGACAATGGGTGGGAGATGGCAAAAGATGACTAGAGCATCGACAAATTTGATTAGTTATGTAACTTACCTTCTCAAAGTGCATTGAATATTGAAGTCGGGTGTTTGCGCATTTTGCAAAACGTCAACACAAAGAGGAAGATAAAGAGAGAGTAGGAGAGAGACTGTATCTGATTGTATGTGCAATTACGTAATTCAGTGCAGCAATTCCTTACCATCGTGATGCTTTGGTTGGAAAAATGCAATTCATGACGTTTTCCAACCAACTCTATCATCCAGCGCTTTCTCAAGTCCATTGCAGAACCATGAAACACTTCCTGGAAAAGTCTCTGATTTTGGCTATGAAAACACAAGCTGCTAGCATATTCTCATTCTCCTCATTCTACTCCGTGCAGTTTGCAGGATCTAGACAGCAATTTTCTACCCCTCAAACTTTGTCATGATGCTCGAAATGCTGCCACCATTCGTTTGGCTCTAGGAGCAGAAGGAAGGAATGAGTCCTTCGTATGTTTTGAAACTTTTACCCAATATTAGTATCTTGATCCCAGCACTACTTGTTCATCCCCAGCCCATACTCATTGCCTTGTTGCACGAAATGTTCTACCCAGTGATTTATTCAGGGCACAATTTCCGGCAAAACTTGAAAGAAAAGGAATAGGAATAGGTGCATAGTAAGTTCACCCCATGTAGTGATTTTGTTGGGCATGTCAGACGGACGGAATGCTCTCAACTGTGAGTACTGGCTTTTTTAATCAGATTTTTCAATCACTCTTTGACCATCTCAGCGTCTAAGGAATGAGGGTGGAATGCTTGTGGTACATCTGACTGCCCCAAGGAAGTGCTAGGTGAAATTAACATCAAGTAGAGAGAAGACTATAAAGCATGGGTTGAAATGGGCGTAATGTTCCTCAGCAGCTGCGAATTCAAATCATCACTCGAAATTTGTTAAAGTACAATATGTTCTCCACCAAAGCTTTCTTGGTTGCCTTTGTCGCTTTAGTCGGCGCTCAGGTTGTTTCTGGAGCTGCGGTACGTTCGCACAGGACCTCTGTCCTCGTCCTCCTCATGAATCTGTTACAATTTGCTTATTGTTTACGCTCTCATTGGCCTTTAGCTCGTACCAGCGACAATCACTGCATGCTCCGGCCTCCCGTCTAATGGATGTGTCACCATCCCCGTTGTTTCCGATGTTTGCACGGATCTCACTGGGGGCCTTAGTTTCCTGAACCAGGAGATCTCTGCCATTGTTGTCCCTGATGGATTTGTGTGTTCGTTCTATGAGTGAGTGGTGTTTCTGGACCCAGGATTAGTAGCCTGAATACTAACAAGCACCTGATATCAGGGAATTTGGATGCCTCGGGAGTCAGAACGCACAAAATGTTGTTGTTCTTACTGGTGGAACCTGGAATATGTTTTCCGTTCCTGGGATCGCTGGTACTCAGGACTTCAATGACTTAACCAGCTCGTTCAGCTGCTCTCCAATTTAATTTCCCCAACCATATAAGTAACAGTTGTTAGCCTAATGTGTTTGTTGTGATAGGTGGTTATAGTCTTCGTGGATTTTATTTTTGTTGGATATGTTTACGTTGCCACATGCTATTAGTAAAAAAAAATTTGATTATAGTAGTCAGTGTAGTTCTCAATTGAATTTAGAATGTGCCTGAATCACCAGCTTGAAAGAAACCAGTGAGTGCCAATGGTGATAACAGCCTGGGGAAAAACAAGAAGACAGCCAGCACAACTTCTAGGAAGATAGAAAGAGTAACGGAATGTGGTCTGGCAGTGAAAGCATTTTTTGAAAGAGAAAAGAACTACCACGACCGTGACATAGAATGACAGGAGCTCTATTACCGCCAAAGTCATCACCAAAGCCAGTAACAGCCAATCATGAATGTATAGTAAATACAAAAAAACACCTAGCGCCGACGAGGCGTCAATAGAGGCAACAAATAACATTGTAAAGGCGTTCAAGTAGAAACTATGGATTTGAGTGCGGTGACGCGTAAAAGTGCAGCTGCAAAGAAAAAAACAAGTTTCATTTAGTCCGAAATCGACAAATATGTATACCATACGAGGGATTAATACCATCTAGGTCTCCCAAGGACAGAGCCAATTGTGTGTCTGAGTTATTGGATCAAAGGGCTGCTCAATTCTAATCGTTTTGAAAATGATTTAAATCACTCGTGAAATTTAGGAACAACCGATGATGCCGACGGTGCTTACATGAGGCACAATGTCCGGGAAATGATAGAAGTGTCGGGTGGACAGACTTTTTTAGTGTATTTTTTCACTGTTCAGATAGGTTCAGATTATGGACTCAAACAGACTTAATTCCAGAGTGTATAATGATGCATTGCTTTTATTGGAAAACATGTATATGTATAGTGCCACTGACCAACACGACGGAGACTGGAGTTACCTTCAATGGTCCATCGTTGTTTTGAGCACATGAGGCTGCTGCTTGAGGCATCCGAATCTGAGACCGAGAACCTCCGGATGTTGTACCTCATGTAAGCACTGTCGGCATCATCGGCTGCTCCTAAATTTCACGAGTGATTTAAATCATTTTCGAAACGATTAGAATTGAGCAGCCCTCAAAGCAATTTATGCGTAATATGAAAATTCGTCATTTAAATGTACAACAGTCGAGGTTGACTAATGCTTGGACCATCCTTGGTTCAGTAGTCACCTAAGTACCTGTACATCAACAGGGAACATTTAGCAAATATGCCTTGCGATCAACGACTATATGAAATCGTGATTCAATTCAGCGAGAAAATACAACCAACAAACAGGACTAGCCTCTAGAAACTTCTATTGGAGTGAATGAGGCGTGCAGTATAGACAGTCAGTCGTAGCGAGGCGATGAGTACGGCGAGGGATGACAAGAGACGGGAGATTTCAATTTGAGATTGATCAACGGAAAACTTCGAACAGTAGAATGAGTCATTCACAATTTTCTCTTTCCTTTTCTTCTTCTGTGTAGACATTGAACAGAGGGACTACGGTAACTGTGAACGTTTGGAATGGGAGATTGAATGTGAGTTTAATGACTGCTTAGACGGCTCGACCATGCTGGATGTCTACTCTAACCATCTAGCATTCCGCTGCAAAGAGGGCATCGGCTCATGACTATCCCAGTTCGATAACTATATTATCACAAATTGAAGCGAGTTGTGAGCGATCTTGACCCCGTCAGAGTGGATATAATATCAATGATCTTCAGCCCACGTAGTATAGGTGTGTACGACCTTTTGCGTGGAACGTTCATTCGATCGCAAACTCGATAAGAAAGATTGTAACCGGATTCGTTGCAGAGTCCCGTCGTTAAGCTGTCAGTGCGCAAGCACTTACGATCTCAGGACGTGGACGGGAAGCTCGAAGTAGAACTTGAAGAAGACTTGAAGAAACCGAAATCAGCAAAATTCATTGAAGCGATTCTTTTCTGCTTTGTTCACAATTTGCTAGGTAGGTCCTCGTTGACTGGAGTTACTAGTATTCCGCGTTCAAATAAACGAAAGAAAGTTGCTAGAAATTTAAAGTTGACGTTGAAAGCTGATCAATGTAAGAGGAAAAACTGTCGCTTAGCGCCGGAAAGCTTTTTTTTTTCATCGCAAACGCTCACTGAATGAGTTCAACGATACTTCAAGACCGTTGAAGACGCTTGAAACCCCCTAATTCCCCTTAACACACGATACACCGTAGTTGGTGCAAGCTTTCGAGTTGGGAAAGATTGGTAGAAAGTAAGTGATTTCTCGTTGAATTCATTCCAGAGTCATATCTTGTCATATCTTGTCATCTTTCGCCGTACTCATCGCTTTGCCACAGCGCAATTATACTGCTACATGGTATACAACCCTATAGAATTGTGACCTCAAGGCCACATTAATCAGATATCGACTGTCTCTCGAGCTGAGGCTTTTCCGTTCATCACATCCTGTCAGAATCATGTCTGTTGGTCTATTGGATATTCTATCGCCGCTCATGTGCAAGAAGCTCATCGCAGTTTTGGATTGAAGAGGATTAAAATGCAAGCATTGAATGATTGAAGCTCGAAGGATAGAATAAATCGGTACGTGATTTTTAAATACTTACCTACTCACCAGTGCTCACTTTGTGACTGATGGATGGATTGTTCACAAACTCGTGCGTTTACCTTTAGTTTTACACCCGGTGCTCCAACGTGAACTATTTGAAGAGTCGTCGATATCAACATTCCCCGCGTCACTAGCTTACTCTATCATTTTGTTCGCTGTTTCCTTACTCGAATTAGCTGCCGAGACGGATAGAGCAAAATGGATTTTTGGCAATGTCGAGAAGGAAACAAAGAGTATAAAGGTTACCTCCAACTTTCCTTGGGTTTCCTCAGCAGTTGCGACTTCTTCAGTTCGTCACCCAGCACTTCAGTCTTGCACTCGATATTTCTCTAAACCCAACATGTTCTCCACCAAAAGTTTCTTCGCTGCCTTTGTCGCTTTCGTCGGCGCTCAGGTTGTTTCTGGCGCTGCGGTACGTTCGATTAGGATCTGTGTCCTCGCCTGTCGCACCGTCGCTTACTCGTTACGCTTTATCGATATCCTTTAGCTCGCCCCAGCGACAATCACTGCCTGCTCCGGCACCATCAACCCGCCTAACGGATGTGTTGACATCCCCGTCGTGTCCGACGATTGCACGGATTTCACTGGAGGCCTCAGCTTCCTGAACAAGGAAATCTCCAACGTTGAAGTCCCTGCAGGATTCGTGTGCTCTTTCTACGAGTGAGCGCTTCTGACTTGAGATCTGCTTGGACTTGGAATGCTAACGACCGCCACGATAAAAGGGAATTCGGATGCCTCGGGAGTCAAAACGCGCACAACGTCGTTGTGCTTACTGGTGGAACCTGGAATATGGAATCCGTTCCCGGAATCGCTTCGACCCAGGACTTCAATGACATGGCGAGCTCTTTCACTTGCTCCCCGGTTTGATGTCGAGAGCTGTTTTGTCGGAGTACCACGATAATCTGTGTTCGTAGTAGTTATATTCGTGGCTCTTGGTCTTTCTGAATATTATTGATATGTGACTCTTGCTCGTCTCCGATCAAACAACTGAGACAAGGATACGCTGGTGAAGAATCTGAAAGCGCTTCAGCACCGTAGTTGCTTGAAAGTCAGCACAGTTCTAATCGGAGGGTAAGTAGTAATGATGATCGGATGCTCCATGTCATTCACGCAATTGGGTACATTCAACACTCGCCAGCTTTAGACAGAGCGATTACATTCATACATTCCGATGACAGCTAAAAACAAGAACAGACAACAACCAGTGCAAAAAGAGAAAATCAAGTAATGCTTCCACGGAGAGCAAAGATAAATGCGGTTTGGTTAAGAAAATCCATCCGACAAGGAAGATCGCCAACTTCCAATTTATAGCACGAAAGAACATCTACCAGTCTCCTCCACCGCCGAAATCATCTCCACCACCAAAGCCATCACCGCCGCCACCATAGTCATCCATTTGGCCTTGTTGGACACCTGCGATAGAATACGAATCCATTGTCAACATCGAGGAAGATCGAAGCCAACAGAACACTAAGGACTCGAGAACTCACCATCCTGGTAAGCATCGAACCGTTCTTCGTCTTCGTGATGTTCAATCATTTCTCCAATGACCGCGCCACCTAATAATCCAGCAGCTCCTACACCGAGCATCGTACCCATCCCAGGACCAGATTTTTTGGGTGGCGGAGCTGGAGCGTATTGCTGAGGAGGGTTGCTGCTTGGTCGGCCGAAGAAGCCTGGAAAGGATCAGTTTGAGAAGTTTGGGTAAGTGAAAGTATTGAAGACAATGGATCACATTAGCAATTTGTTCCGGATTTAAAATTCGTTCAGCTTACCACGACTTTCCTCTTCTCTATATCCGCCGTAACCTGGCCCACCATATCCAGGACTGGATCCATATCCCTGTTGAGGAGGTTGGCCGCCGCCGTAATAAGGTTGAGGCGGAGGAGATTGTTGATACCCGCCGTAACCTGGGTATTGACCTTGAGGTTGGCTATTATATCCGTAGCCAGGACTACCAGGACCAGGAGGCGGTGGACCAGGAGGAGGTCCATATGAATTGGGGGCAGGAGAAGTCGGGGGTGCGCCGAGAGGATGTGTCCACGTCGTTACTGGAGGATCTACGTCTGTATTCACATAGAACCTGATGAGAGCAAATCGCTCGATATTAGTATATACTATTTTCCATTGGTATAATTGGAGAAATATGCTCTAAACACTAACCAAGCTCGATAGCTGTCAATATCAACGATTGAAATTAGGTTGTTTCTGATCGACCCGATATTTCGCAGATGTAAATTACTTACTTATTATCATACCGCGTAAGCCAGCCACGAGGTAGTGGTCGTCTATCCGGATTCTCGTTGGGAGGATATGGATATGGTGGAGGTGCGGACATGGATGAGTAGGACGGAAAGGAATTGACTAGGGTTGAACAGCTGTTCAGCCGGATTTATAATGCACAGTGTCACAGCCTCGGCATTCAAACTCAAGCACCGGCCCTTTAGGTCACAGCATTTGACATCTCTTTCCATGCCACGTCTATGTAGCGAAATTGCTAATAGTGGCCCCGAGGCTACTGAAGAGATTTTCAAAAATTATTCCCACTATGGATGTTTTTCTAATGAGTCAAGGCAACTGAGAATAGTCTCAAGTATCAGACTGAGGCCCGGAAACCCGAGTCAGGCAATTCATGGTAAGTTGGGTCCAATAACTTCGTCACATCATGGAAAATGTGATGCTCAGCACCCATGTAGCACCTGTCTAGACTCCTATTTCACTGCGCCACCGGGCAAAAACATTGTCTGGAAAAGGAAATGAGAACAGTTATGGGAAAGTTGACCTTTTACAGTAAGTTTATGGGGCGAAACATAACATATTTTGTGCTCGAGAAAACTTTAGGTAAATATTTCCTTTCTCGGAGGGGGTCCCGCCCTGGATAATCAATGGTAATGAATTCCTTTCGCAAATAGAAGAAGTGCCCTTTTGTAGTTATTATTCCAAAAAGATAAAGCTTTGGGATTCTTTATGTCTCCCTTTATCAGATGTAAAAAGTGTTGAAATTGATTCCTTTTTATATCTTAAATTAATTACTTTTTTAAACAGAAAAACAAAATGACCAATAAGGGGGAGATTCACAGTAGACTAAACTCAATGAAAATACACTTAACAGACTGTTGTTGGGTGATACTAGTTTCAGGGAGACTTTCAGAGCTTTTTTGTCCTGTCAGTGGTGAGAATATATTCACCTCACCTGTAGTGCTTTACCCTAACCAACTGGAATATTTTTACATACCACCTGGTACTTTTCTCAGAATTCTTTGCCTGCAGGCACATAGTACCTTTGCCTCAAATCTCTCCACAATGTTCTGGTTTCAAGAACTCATTCTGCCTTGGCCCAATATAGACTCAAAAGTTCTTGATCCTGTTAACACAAGTTTAAACTCAGTTGATAGCAAAACAACTGTATTAAGCTGTAAGGTTAAACTATGGTATGTTAGTATATAGTATTTGGATGTAGTTGTTATTGAGCTCACCTCAGTTGATAGCAAAACGACTGAGGAAGCTCGGATACTCTGCAGTGCATGATATATGTAGAACTGTACAGTTTATAAATCTCAGCGTATACATACTAGAGGACGGGAGGTCAAAGCAGTTATGTATTACTGTATGTACAGAGTTGCTCCCCAACACCCCCCCCCCCCCTACTCTGTATGATCACTCCCTAGTTGTGATACCAGCTTTGAGTGAGCCATTCCATTGAGGGGCTTGGTAAATAAGTCCGCTATGTTCTCCCCCAACTGTATCCTCTGTACCTTCACCATGCCATTAGCGACCTTCTCCCAGATATAATGATGCCTCATTTTGATATGCTTGACTAGTGCATGGTGCTTCGAGTTCTCCATTAAGTATACACATCTGAAGTTGTCTCCCAGTAGGTCTACAGCTCCTCCCTGCATGAGGTCAGTTTTGGACAGGAAAGATGTCAGCCACACTGCCTGTTGCATTGTGTGGGAAAGTCCAATGTACTCTGACTCGGTGGTGGACAGCACAACCGTTGCCTGCCTCCTTGAGCTCCAGGACACGGGGGTGCCTACCATGAAAAAGACATAGCCTGAGGTGGACCTATATGTGTCTTTGCACCCCACATGATCTGAGTTGACATAAGTATATGGCTTCAGTTCAGCTCCGGGCAGTGGATTTGTACCTGTTGGGGCACAGTATTGGGTAAATGATCTGCAGTATATATCCTGCAACCCACTGAATGCAGTCCTAGTGCTGACATCTGGGGTTCAGCTGGTACCAAGCCAGTAGTCCTGCCATGAATGCTAGATCTGGCTGTGTACATACCTGCTGTCATGCCATGACCCATTCTTTCATTCTGTTCTACCTACTCAGAACCTCCTTACACTTCCTTCAAGCTCCTCACATACCTCCCTCCCATTACATACTTTTATGCTCACAAGCAGCTCCCACAACTCTGACATGCATTGAAGGCTCGGAACCTCCCAAACCAACACACGACATACCCTATCTCCATTTGTACTTCATCTTGATCACCTACTTTATGCTCACCAGATCCCCCAGTGTTCCCTTGTTAGCTTCCCTGTACCTATTTAAGCAACTCCATAATGTCCAAAAGCCCAGCTTGGTATATCTTAATCACACACCCTTTAACATAGGTCCAATCCCTTTGTACCTGCTACCTATATGGATCATATGCACTTTGCTATGATGGTGAATCAGGTATTGGTCTCAGTGCTTGGACTGATTCGAATTGGGCTTCTGATCCTTATACACGCCGGTAACAAATCAGATTTTTCATGAAGCTTGCCAATGGCATCTTCTCTTGGACCAGCCATGCACAGAAGACAATTGCTCACTCATCTACAGAGGCTGAATATATGACATTGTCTAATTGCAGCCATCAAGTGGTTTGTCTGTAATCTACTGTCATGCCCTACCCCGTATTCTTCTCTGAATCCTAGCTCCCCAAGTGCACCCGCATCACCTCCCACTACCTCCTCCGTCTTCTCCTTTCTCTAACCCTCCCCATTATCCAAACACCCTGAAGAAGGCTTCCCCGACGCGTGTGAAGCTTCCCTGACACATGTATGGAACCTTCCTATCACCAACTCCATTAGGTATTAATCTCGATTACCGCCTCATGTTCCCCACCCAGATTCTCCAATGTTCCCTTGTTCACTTCCCTCACCTATTTAAGTAGTCTCACAATGTTCCTAAGCAGTAGCTTGGTATATTTTGAATACACACCCTTTTGCATAGGTCCAGTCCCTGTCCCTTTGTACCTGCTAACTATATGAATTTCTTTTACTTTCTGTTTCTTTATCTCTGTTTCTCTATTACTATCTCATCTCTACGGTCGTCTAAACAATCCAATACATGCTTTTACCTCAAGTCTAAGCAATCCGAGTGAGTCTTCAAGCTCCCTCAACCAATACTAAAGCTTCCCAAACATCTATTGTTTTGGTGAGCCAACCTCCCCCAAACCTCTTCAAGCTCCCCAAGCTCAGGGACCTTGATCTAGCTAACATCGAAGCTATCCCCTATGTCGAACTATATATTGCTTCTCTGTTCCCACCTCCAATGCTTGAGGACATCTGCCTCTACCTCCACTTCCCGGGACCTCCCTCCCGAGCTTCCACTCCATCGGGAGCTCTTACGTCTGGAACTCCCTACCTCTATGATCTATCACAATCCTGTACTGTCAATCCTATTCACTACAACTCGAACTACGTAGCCGTCCGACGTTCCCTAGCTCCTAGCAACCTCTAGCCCCATTAACATCCTAGGGACCTCCCAGGACCTTCTAGGAACCTCTTCAAAGGTCAATCCTTTCAATCTGAACTACTCGTAGGTCATTCCCATCCTTGGTCGCGGTTACCGTAGCTCCCTTCGAGCTCCAGCTTGCTCCTAGCATGCTACAACATAAATCCCTTATACCAAAACCTACCCTAAGACCTATTCTGACCCAGGTCTTACATCTACTTGAGGAATTAGGCTATAAGCTTGATGCTATTTCCATTGCTGGAGACAATCAAAGATCCATTTTCATGGCATCAAATCCTGTCACTAGCAAGCACTCAAAACACATTGACATCTGGTATCATTATATCCATGGCCTTGTGCAAGTATTCTTCATATATGGCAGTAACAACCCTGCAGATCTTTTCACAAAGAATCTAGGGTGCATCAAATTTGAGCTATTCCGCTCAATGCTTGGACTTGAGTTCTACTCATCCACCAATCCCTAGGCTGTCTGCCTGGCCTGATGCCTACCGCTATTGCTTCAAGCAAAGTACTTTACTGTGCTGCTCAGCAAGGGGTGTGTTGAACACAGCTATGCAGTTCACATGCCACTAATATGATCATGTGTTATGCTATGTCATATGTAGTCATATGTAGTCATTTACTCTATGTGGATTCCTCAGTACTTTCTTATGTAATACTGTCATACAATTATGTATATAAGCAGGCTGTATCCTGTACTGGAATTGTTAAGATCATGTACACCGGAAAGCTGTGCCAAGGACTGTTCAGTGTCTAAGGGCAGAAGGTTGAATGGGACAGTAGTGAAGTTGTTAACAACACCGGCTGCTAGTCCCTGGAGGAGAGAGAGTAGAAGAGAGGTAGCCAGAAGCAGCCAAGTCAGAGCAGCGGTAACGCTGATGACAAGGAGCGAACCAAAAAAACTTGTGAGTCCTGAGGTCAGAGTGGAGAGTACTTCAAGATGATGAGCCTGAAGACTTAGAGGTCAGAGAGAGACAAGAGAGGGTGATCTAAGTTGATAATTAAACTGAAGAACTACAGTATAGTACAGGAGTATTTATACCTATGAATTGGTCCATTGGAGCAGAGCGCCAGACTAACTACTAGGGGCTATATGTATAGTGCCTTCAGGGTAGAGAATAAGACAATAAGGAGAGACTGTAAGACCTGGGTCAGAATAGGTCTTAGGGTAGGTTTTGGTATAAGGAGTTTATGTTGTAGCGTGCTAGGAGCAGGCTGGAGCTCAAAGGGAGCTACGGTAACCGCGACCAAGGATGGGAATGACCTAGTAGTGGCTGGGATAGAGAGATGTGACCCTTGAAGGGGTTCCTGTAAGGTCCAGGGAGGTCCCTAAGGCGTAGGTAGGGGAGGTAGAGGTACGGAACCTAGTAGCGTTGCATAGAAGGAGTTGTACTCGCTAGAACATCAACGTAAGATCGAATAGGTCGTAGAGAGAATGGGTCTTGAGTGTATAAGCTCCTGAGAAGATATACGCCCGGGAGGGGAGGTCCCGGGAACTGGGGCTTAGAGGTGGACGTCCTCAAGTGTTGGAGGTGGTAACAGAGAAGCAGCACGTAGTTCGATGTAGGGGGTAGCTTCGACGTTACCTAGATTGAGGTCCCAGAGCTTGTAGAGCAATTGGGGAGCTCGAGGAGGTTTTGGGGAGGTTGGCTCACCAAGGCGTTAGGCATTGGGGAGGTTGGCTCACCAAGGGGATTCAAGGAACATGAGGCGGTGATCGAGATTAATACTTAATGGAGTTGGTGATAGGGGAGGTTCCCTATGGTGTCGGGGAAGCCTTCTTCCGGGCGTTTGGATGCATTTGGATAATGGGAATCATAGAAGGGGTGTTAGGGGACACAAATAGATGGAGGAGGTAGTTGGGAGGTGGCTACAGGTGCCCTTGGGGAGTTAGGAGTCAGAGAGAATTCAGGGTAGGGCATGACAGAGACTAGGTAGAAAGGGAATGTGTAGCAAGAAAGAACAATAAGGATGAGATTACAATAAATGGTAGATCTCAGAGTACCAAGCGCCGGAGCAGGGCACTGAGGCAAGGTCTTGACAGGAATCCAACTCACTTCTCTCTCACTTTTATTGCCTCTCTGAGACTACAAGCTCTGTTACCCAGGTATGGTGCTTGAGAGTGTCCCCACTATGCACCCCTTTCCTGCTCAACAGTTAGGTCCACAGTGGAAAAACTCCAGGCCTTTTATATGCTTCAGAAACAAAAAAATGAGGTTTATTCAATTAAACCAGTGGCCTGCAGGTGTATTTGAATTTTAATTTTCAACAACTAATATTTGTTGATGGGATCAATCTTCAGTGATGTAAGGCTTTCGAGGGCTCAAGCCTAAGAGGGGGATACTGTCAAGACCATGCCTTGGCACCTCGCTCCGGCACTCAGTATTCCAAGATTCACCATTTCTTGTAATCTCTTCCTTATTGTTCTTTCTTGCTACACATTCCCTTTCCACCTAGTCTCCTTTTATTGTCTTATTCTTTACCCTGAAGGCACCATACGTACAGCCCCTAGTAGTTAGTCTGACACTCCACTCCAATATGCCGATTAGTAGGTATAAATACTCCTGTACTATTCTGTAATTCCTCAGTTTAATTATCATCTTAGATCACCTTAGATTGTCACTCTCTATTCTCTGGAGTCTTGAGGCTTAACCCTTGAGTACTCTCTACTATGACCTTAGGACTTATAGTTCTTTGGTCCGCTCCTTGTTGTCAGCGTTATTGTTGTTATCAGCTTGGCTGCTACTTGTACCTCTCTTCCACTCTCTCCTCCAGGGACTAGTGGTGTAATGACAGTGTTGTTAATAACTTCACTACTGTCCCATTTGACCCTCTGCACTTAGACACCAAATGGCCCTTGGCATGGCTTTCTGGTGTACATGATCTTAACAAATGGGCACTCCTTCAGGACAGGTGCCCAGCAGATCAAACCAGGCTATCCAGATGGAAGTATTCTTTGTAAGCCTCAACCCAAATTGTATCCAGATTTTTGATGTAGATAATTTGCACTTCTTGGGCCCCTTTCAACCACTCTCAAAGATCATTGTGGTTACCAACTCAATGATGCAGCACAGAGATCAAGTATGCAGCACAGAAGAAGTTTGTGGCATATTTCTGAATCATAGCTAAGCATATGAGATGAATTTTGGTACCTATTCTGATAGCCACAGATTTATTTCAGTAGTTGGAAGATTGAGAGTCTCCTCTATGGCTGTGGTCTTTGACCTAGTTATCCTGTAAACTGTATCCTCTATGACAAAGCTTGAGCATAAACAGGAAGCTCATACTTTAGGGTTGAATTGATGGAATAATGTTAGACAATTCTGACTAGACTGAAGTTGGGATTGGAAATTTTTGAGAACTTGAAGGTCGAGACTAACTGTCATTCCAGACAAATAGAGAATTTGAGCGAGCATTGCAAAGATTGTTGATTACTTGTCACGAAGCAGCAGAGGCTGAGTGACGAGCAGAGCGGGAAAGCGGAGTGACTAAGCAAGGCAGTGAGGCAGAGCGACTAAGCAGGTCAGCAAGGCGGAGCGACTAAGCAGAGCGGAGGCAAACTGGTCCCAGATAATGACAGAGATATATTGAGTATCGTAGTCATAGGTTATTAATAGTAAGTAAACACATACCTGGTCCCAGATAATGACAGAGAGGTCAAGATAAGGGACCAGGCTGTGGAGGGTTGGCTATATATACATAATCTGATCTGCGAGAAACAACGATGTAATACTGTACAGTTCAGGGGCAAGGAAGGTGGCGGAAGCCGATAGAAAGAGAAGGTGGGTCAGGTGGATCAGTAATCGATAGATCAGTAATCGATGGGGGTTGACAGTGATGGGATGATGTATCGTACAAGTAAAGGCGTCGAGACGGTGAGAAAGGGAAAATGATAGGGGCTGCATACTTTATGACATTACTGTTGTATAGGTCTCATTACCACTGGCATGAGTTGTTCTGAATATCCCAAGAACTTTGCCACAGGTTCAAATGATAAGTAATAACTACTCAATGCACTTACTGATGCATTGGCCCCCTCAGTCGCCCCCCTTAGTTTCCCCCAACCTACTCTCTAAAATTTGTTCCAGTTATCTTTCTCTGCCAAATTGAGCTGAGTTGAGCTTTGTGGAATTCACCTCAGTTCCAGTGATTTCAATGGAGTTACCAGGTTACCCCCCTTTGTTAGTTCATTTCCATAGTGACATATAATGATCATGAGCTGGACATGTACTTTTGTTTATTGCTGCTAACCTCGCACAGCTTGTTGATGTGATGATTCAGACACAATTGGCTATGTATGCTCTACCATAATGTTCCAATTGCCTTCCTGCATCAGTTCCATCAGCCAAACATGTGGTTGCATTTCTTACATGTTGTACAGTTCAATTGAGGTAGTGCCTGGACAATCCTAACTAAGGACTGCATACGATGAACCTGAGACTGATGTTGTAAGAACGAAAAGCTCAAGTGAAAGTCATAAAATACCCCAAGGATTCATAAACCTAAAGGTATGGTAAACGCATCTATCTATCACTATCTATATGAATGTTACTATTAGCAAGATACACATAAGTTCAAGCCAACAAGTTCAAGTATAATGTTGCTCTGTCTCTACCCCACCTCCGCATAGAAAGATTCATCACTAAGCAGTTGAGTTAATCTCTCAACCTCGAAACATAACTTACACGCCACAGCATCCCAACTCCCAGCTGCACCATTTACCATTCACCTCGTTACCTCAAGCAAGACTCCCCAATTCAAAATCGATTTTCAACAACATCATGATCCCCATCTTCCCATCTTACACAACTAACCCCTCTGCCCAACACCTCAACACACCCTCTCCAATCTTATGATGCTCAAAGTTCCGGACGTCGCGGGAGACAATCGGAGCATGGGCGTTGCGGATTGGAATTGGAATCGAGTGCTTGGGCTTTGATTTCGTGGGCTTTGTGGATTTCGAAGAATTGTTGATAATAGCTTCATCCCTGGATTTGGGGTTGTTATCCTCGTCCTCGTTTTCGGGAACCTCATCAACAAATGAATCAATGAAAGCAATTTCTTTGGATAATCCAGGGAGGGTGTTTAATCTAGCAACTATAGTATGTTGGAGAGGAGTGAGGAGTGGGGCATTTTTCGAAGACTTAGGCAGTTCAGATGGGCTGTGAGATGGTTTCGGATTTATCATGGATGTTGCGTTAGGCGGTGTGGATGCCAGCGCAGCAGCAGTAGAAGTGAGCACAGATTCAGGCGGTGGGGAAGGTTCTGGAGAACCCGACGGCGAATATGCTGTCGTTCCGTCATCGTACAACGGCGTCGATGCCCCAGATGGGTTTGCAGAAATACTCCCACCACCAACCGGATCATCAATAGTATCCACCACCGCATCCTCAATCACTCTCTCAACCCTATGCTCAATAGCTTGAATCATCTGCACGAGACTCTGTACGCCATTCGTGTGATGTTGATTATCCGATCCACTAAACCTGTTCTCTAGCCCCCGAATGCGAACGCGACTCCGGCTCGTAGCTCTCGTGAACCGTATGAACACCAGAACAAAAGCGAGGGGTACAAGGAGCGGGAGAGAGGCGTAAATGAGGAGATTGAGGGGGAAAGGTTTAATGAGGAAGGGCGGAAGAGGTATGAGTGGTTTCGAGATTTTGGGTTTTCGTTTAGAGGGAGAGCGTTGGGCAGAGGTGTATTCGGAGGCTGGAGATGAAGGAGACAATGAAGGAACAGTATATGATGTGATAATTGGAGGGTATTTCGGGTGGAATTTACTATGTACCAAATGTTAGAAATGATTATTGTTCAAATCAAAAAAACTCACACTTTGACGCCCCTTTCTTCCCAGTCAACGAACGGATCTTCATCTTCCATCGCGGCAGTAACATATGGCACCGTAAGATCGTTCACCGCATTCGCGAATATCCTTACTTGTTTGAAGAGCGTTAGGGAGCGATAGAACGGGAGCGAAGGGGAAGGGTCGGACATTATATCCAGGAGAGGTCGTGCAGCGGCCCAATTATCCCGCAGATAGAACTGCTCCCCAGTCCTACTCAACAATTTCGGTCCTAGCCGATGCGCGAGCGAGGAAAAGAGAGTAGAGTATCGGATGAGGCCAAGGTGAGGTGTAGCGATGGTGTTGAAATTCATTGGGGTCATTCGTATTGGCGACGACGAGGAGGGCCCGTTGTCATTGTCATTGGTAACGAAATAACCTCTCTGAGCTAATATCCCTACAACGTATCGTGATACCAATCCACCAAGGCTATACCCTGTAATGCTAAACTTGGTCACCCGTTTCAGCTGCTGAATTTTATTGATTTCGTCAACTATCTATGGATAAATAGTCAGTTAAGAATTAAAATGACCAAGTAACTCACCTCATCGACAACCCGTTCCGCACACCAATCAATCCCATCGTACGTTCCTTCTTCGCGATTCGCTTCTGCGAGCAACAGGTGTAGCTCTTCACGTGCATACGTCTCCTCTACAATCCTCGCCATCTCGGCCAAATGTCCCGGATGTCCCCACATTCCATGTACGAGGACGAGTAAATGTACTGGCTGAACGTCGACATTTGATTCGTGAGGCGGCTCGGTGGACATGGAGGATGACTATGGAATAATACGAGTGATTTATGGATATTCCGATTCGGCAGCGGATTAATAATGAACAGTGGTTATTTTGTGAAGTTGTCGTCGTTATTGTAGGTTTGTCAGTTGCGAGAAGAGCGTCCCAGATACGTCGAAGAAGACTAGCCTAGCCTAACACCAAATATTGTCAACCCTTGGTCAAGGCGAATTCGGAGTCACAGTACAGGTGAGCCTTAAGCCGTTTGCTTCAAGTGAACGAGGTGACGAATACTGCGCACGTTGAGCGCGTGAAAAAAGAAATAGCAGTCCAAGAATCCAACAGAGAGCAGAATGAGACGCCTTGTTCGGCACTGAAAGTGTAAGAAGATTCGTAGGTGCTGGCGCTTTCTACACCAGCTAAGGGCGCCAAAAAAAAACAAAGAAAGTAGCACTAAATCTGATTCTAAATAGGCACCTCCACCTTTTTGTACATAGCATCCCATGTCGTGGAATATTCATCCCCTTCATCACTCTTCCACCGACACGTCGCATAATGCGAATTCCGCATCTTTTTCACCACAGAATCAGAATACTCGAACCTCCCACCGACCTCAACCTTGCGCAAATCATCCAAAAATCTCACCTTTCTCCACATGTAGGGAAAACTAACGGTGCCCAACAACAACCCCTTGGATGCATCAATTGTTCCTTTGAGATGCTTCGTTGAAGTGGCTTTCAACCGATACCCTTCTTGAACAACTCCATAATACAAACCATCAACCGAAATTTGCCATTCCTCAGGAGATATCACGCATCCTCGAAGTTTATCTTCAGCAGAACACGGTGTAATCTCCGTTTTGGGGTCAAGCATTTCGCCATTGTGGGAACGCCAGAGTTTCACGGGAATATTTTCAAGAGGCGACTCTTGAAAAGAAGAAACAAAATCGGCCGCGGGAAGGCTGGGGACATTTGACTGTTATGAACTTACCGTCTTTGGGGGTTTCTGGTTTAACCATAGGCATTGCAGTGCTGGTACAATTGGAGAAAAAAAGAATAACCACTACATAGAGCAAACGCAGTGGAAGGAACATTTGGTGCGGCTTCGATTCTCGCCGGGTTCTTTGACGGTTGGATAGAAATGATTTGAAATTTCAAAAATCAAGGCAAATGGACGGACAAAGGGGCGGGGCAGGGCGTCGACTCTGTAGTGGAGTATTTTCGTTAAATTACTTGAATTAAACCCCCTTTCAGAACACAACGTTAAACACAAAAGATAATGAATAACATACCAGGTTGTGTGAACAACTAGATTTGACCAGCAGATCCAGTAGTAGAAGTAGTAGTGACGTTTGAACGTTCAGATCTGAGCACACACGGCTCCAGTGAACAGATGGCGACTGTGTCCTTCAAATTTCTTTCGCAAAACTAGAATAAATCTGAGCACACACGGCTCCAGTGAACAGATGGCGGCTGTGTCCTTCGAAGTTCTTTCGCAAAACTAGAATAAGTAAGAGTGAGTATGAATGAACAGCAACAAGTTCTTTGTTTTACAGCCCTTTGCATAATTCCGTGAAAATGGGAATTTTTTTTTTTACCGGACCGCCCATAAGCGACTTCGACCGAGATCTCCGGCCTGACAGCTGACTGCTTGGCGTCGTGCCCAGTAACAGCGCCATACCTCTGCACACTGTCTCCTCACGATGTACATGCACCTAAAATTTACTGGAATAGCTGCAAAAAGAACAGGATCCAGCTGGTATTGACTAAAAAGCTTAGCATTGAGAGGCTGCTGTCATATATTGAAGTTTTCTAACAATTAAGAGGCACTAATGTAATAACAGTGTGTCGGGATGTTGAGCGGGTGGTCGTTGTTGCCACGTCGGGTCGACATCAAAGTTGGGTCCGGAACATTCAAAAATCGGACCGAAGTAGGAGAAAAAAACCCTGTTTTCACGGAATTATGCAAAACCCTGTACAGTGACAAATCAAACTTGAACTCACCGAACCAGCGTTTGCGTAAAGGGTTGGCAGTGGAAAGGAACGAACAAGCAACGAAGGAAGAATTGAAAGGGAAATATCAGGAACCATCTCATCCCGGAAAATATAGTATGCGCCAATCAAAGTGCAACAACAGCCATCAATCTGTTCCGTTTTCACCTTGCTTAGGTCAAAACAGGGGGCTACCGTCGGAGAAATCCGTAAATCCAACCTCTGTTAGTAACTAGGCCCCGCTGTTGTGGACTGCACCTTGCTTGGGAAGGGATAAATTTCAGTTAAATTGATACTAGAACTGGTATGGCAGGAACTAGGGAATGATGCAGGATTATGTATGCAGAAAGTGTAGGGTATCATCTGAGTGTCTTTGTCAAGGTGTAGATTTTAGTTCAAGTATCAAGTGAAAAAAACAAGGCACATAAGGTGCACTACAGGATATACACACTTCAAAAGCCTTGTGGAAATTTGTTTGATTAATCTGAGTATTGAAGAAAGAATGCGGCGCACATACTATTGCCCACTGGGAAGTGGGTCACACAGGCAAAGAAGCATCCAAAATAACATTTATATTACTTCTCCCAAGTTTGAGTGGTGATATTTTGTGTGCAGTCATCATACAGACATATTGAGCACAATTTGAGATCTGTGCAAGCAGATGGGGCTAGGAAATAAATATTTTACGGAAGCGGAGTCCAAAGTCTGAAATAACCAGGATGTGGGTCACCCGCATGCACCTGCTCATAAAGTCACTCGTTGCTCAAATTCTTCGAGAAGATTGTTTAAAATGAGTATAATATATCCTTCCATTAAAAACTTTATGTGTCAATTGATGAAAGTATTCAGAAAATTTGTGTCATCAAATGCTTGTACTGTAAATTTGGCAATTTGAGGTGTCCTGGAGGCATTCACAGTCCACTCGAAGTCTGACCAGGAAGATAAAGCTCAAAATTAGTGGGGACCATGTATTTGAGAAAGATGTGAACACACCAGTAGCATTCACTTCACCCCGCATCCCTGTAGTCAAAACATAACAGACAATCCTAGTAGATAGTCTATTGTGAATTTTTCATGACAATGATCATGGTCCTCAGGGAGCATGAAAATTCCCAAAATTCAGTAGAGCCTCAGAGCAGCTCTATGCACCAAACACATCATGCACCTGACATTCAAAAAGATCTCAACAGAGTAGTTTGATAAATAGGCATGTTGCAAGGTCGGGCTCTCCCCAATGACATGGTTTGTCATGCTGCATGCCCAGCTGACTGCAGAAGCCTGGATAGATTGAGAAAAGTGATGTGGTGTGTCTTCCTGTTGGTCCTGATAAGATATAAATTACTGGAAAGACTGAGAAGAGTTGTCGAATCTGACATCATTTTCTGCAAGGATGAAGGAAATAATTAAGATTTTTACATAATTGGGCCGATTGGTCTGGTCATTTCATCTCCCATTTCTCATTGCACTTCTCACTCACGCCCATGTTGTATTCAGAGTATCACTCGATGCTACTTTAGAAGATGTACATTGAATTTCACAACCTAGACAAAATCTACTGCCTATAAATACTAATTGACCCACTTCTAGGGGGTCAATAGTAAGGTGCGCCACAAAGCAAGCACAGAGCTCAAGATGTTTGTAAACATTTGGCAAAAGCATGAGGCCAAGCACAACCAAAACATGCCTGCACAAAACAACTTAACTTCCAGAGTGCAATAGACCTTGCAAGCAAGGTGACTGTTAGTGCTGCCGCAAGTCAAAGTTAACTTGGACCCTGAACTTGAGTCTTGACTTGACTCAGCTGGGTTCCCAAATAGGCAGGCAAGTTGTCAAGTTTTGATGAGCTCGTTGCCTTGACTCAATGTCGCATCTTCTTCCAAATAGCTGACATTCAATTTCATTGCATGGGAAGTTAGAAGTATGCCAACAATCTTAGTTCCATACCACCATCATCTACAAATATCATACTTGTTCTCAGTTTTCTCCAAAGTGATTCAGCAACCTGCAGTCAGTTTGGGAGGGTCCATAGCCAATTGTCAAGGCCTTCATAGCCCCAAGGATAAGTCACAATATAGCAACTTTGTTGAATCTGATCAACAATGTGCTCGACACATCGGTCATGCACCTTGAGCAGTATAAAAGGGATGTCCTAAGAAGTCCAATGTTTGATATGTTGCTGGGTTAAGTGGAGAGCCATGGCAGTCTGTGTGATTTGTGGCAGTGAGGGGGAGAGCTGTCAATGCAGACAGACTGCTGGTGGACTGGGGGATCTCACTATCTGATAGGACGGATGGACTCGATGTGCTTGATTGACCTACTCTACCTACTGAATATGTGCTCTACTACTACGAACAAACAGATGACAACATGAATTTAGATAAGATATGAGATAAGATAGTGAGCTCTGGGAGTCCCTACTCCATGTGCCCCCATTAAAAAAAACGGTGGCACCCTCATTGCCTATGCTTTCTCGTTAGCTTCTGTCCTGCGTCTAATCATCTCCAGCTGTTCCTCAGCCAACTTCGTGCCCATCCTAGGCTTGAACTCTCGAAGCCGCCTCGCGGCAAACCACTTCCCCTCGATGAGCCGGCCGTCAACCGTTTGCAGGGTGTAAGAGTTGACATTCCGTTCCACGACTCGGTAAGGACGGGACCATTTTGGTATGATCTTTTTGATGGTTTTGAATGTATAGTCGAGGTCGCTCCGATATACTTGTACCAAATCTCCCTTGTCAAAAATGACCTCCTTGCCTTCTTTCTTTAATACCCTCCTGTCAAATATAGTTTTTCTTTTCACCGCATGGCGCACAAACGCGTTGTATCCATCAAACTGCTGTTGCTCCACGTAAGCTGTTTGGACCAGGACCTGTTATTCCGGGAGTACCAAAGTGGCCTCTACCACCGGAGTTTGACGTATGTTGACCACTGCTCCCAAGAGCAGCTCGTTCGGAGAGAATCACACTGAAGGAAGGATTCGGTTGTTGATAATACGTACCGCTTCATCAAGGTACTCCGGCCACTTCTCCGGCAACGTTTCCCAGTTCATTTCCTTGAATTCCTCCGAGTCCTCCCCTAACTTCAGTGCGCACAGACGTTTCAGTACATGGAGTAGTATCTTGTTAGTTCCCTCCACCAGACCATTGACCCATGGAGAGTATGCAGGGGTGAGGTGTTGTTTTGTCCCCCATTTCTCACACAGTTCCGCGACTTCCTTGTTGGCGAAGTGAGAACCGTTATCCATCATGAACGTTTCAGGTGGGAGGTACCCATTGAATAAGGAAGCTAGGCTAGACGTTGTCGTGGCGCCTGACCCCGCCACTTTGAACTTGAAGGCCCAAACTCACTGGGAGTACGTGTCCAGATACAAACCCACGGTCTTGTACCCGCCCTTCCCCTTCGACATTGACAAGTAATCCCCCACCAGTAATTCGAATGGGTGTCGTCTTGTGATGGGGTTAAGGAGCGCATGTATGCACGCAGCGCCAAAGTTCTTGCATTCTGGGCATATTGTGATAGCTTCCATGACCGACTCGTCTAGCTTAGGACTCCATATCCAGTCCATCAACGCCAACTTTACCGAATCTCGTCCCCAATGCCCAGCCTCACCATGCTGCACTTTGGCCAGGACTTTCGCCTTTTGCTTCAGCTTGTCATCTGCCTGACTTTCCAGAACCTGTAGCACTTCCACCACTTCCTTGAACACCGGCTCCCCAGCAAAGTGTTCCATCAACACCTTCCAATTGGTGCCTCCTATGCCACCTTCCGTTCCGTCAACTGCACTCACCCCAAAGACATCATTAACAAGCCCCGTGACTGCCTCCCAGTCCTCACTGACTGTCCATTCGCTCCCATCGCCTACTACCCTATCCTGACCCTCCCACATCTGGCTCATGCTGTCCGCCACCACATTCAGCTTCCCTGGGATATGCCGTACGTCCACGATGTGGTGTGCCAGTACACCGTCCCTCCACCTGCAGTGTGCTGCGTTCAGTTTATCATTAGCGATGACGTCGCGCAGAGCCTGGCAATTGGTTTCGATCTCCACAGGGAATCCCCAAATCATGTCAGAGAATTTGTTGAGTCCAAACTTCAGCGCTGCAAACTCCAGCAGGAACGGCTTGTAATTCTGCTCAGCGTTCGATGTTTGTTTGGACGCGAATCCCACCGGGTGTGTCTTGTAAGTTGTGGTACCATTCGGGTGGACCACCTCAAACCGCTGCGCAACCACCGCCGCAAAACCTTTCTTGCAGCCATCCATTGTTATGATGAAGCTGGATCCATCCCATCGCGGCGCCTTCAGGACTGGTTCAGAGACTAGCGCACGTTTCAATGCCAGAAATGCTTTCATGTGGTCTAATGTCCACTTGTCGCTGAGCTTGAATGATTCCATGGCTTTTCGGTACGTGGATTTGGTGTAGTGCTGGGGCAAAGGAACTGACTTTAACAAATTCCGCAGTGGGCCTTCTATGCGGGCGTAGTTACGGATGAGATCCCGGAAGTGGCCTGTGAGTCCAACAAACGATGCGAGGTTCAGTGCGTCCACTGGCTGCTTCCACTCTACAATAGCAGTGAGTTTTGCCGGGTCCACTGTGACTTCCTCCTTGCTGATTTTCCCCCCTGCAAAGATACCCTCAGACATGAAGAATTCCGATTTTGCAGCTGACAGGGATAAGTTTCAAGAGCGGACTCGGTCCAGAATATGCGTGAGCTTTACGAACATAGCTTCAAAGTCGTCGTCTGCCAACCCTCCATCATCCACGAAGAGTTCAATGGTGCCGTCGGCGATGAGGTCATCTAGATGCAGGGCTGTCATGTTGGCAAAGGTCAATGGGACACCCGTAAGGCCGAAGGGAAGCTTGGCGCACCAGAAGTAACCTTTGCCCTCCACATAGAATGCCGTATAAGGTCGAGATTCTCATTCCACTTCGCAGCCATAAAACCCAGATGCAAAGTCAAACAGACAGATATAGGTATGTGTCAAGTCCATGCCGCGGGCCTCCATTCCGCTGTTCGGTACTCCGAGGATCTGCTCCTTATTGTAATCTTACTCTTATTGTTCTTTCTCGCTACACATACCCTTTCGTTCTAGTCCCTTCTTATTGTCTTTTACTTTACCCTGCAGGTACTACTCGTATAGCTCCTAGTAGTTAGTCTGGCGCTCCGCACCGATGCGCTGTTCTGTAGATATAAATACTGCCTGTACGCTACTGTAGTTCCTCAGTTTAATTATCAACTTAGATCTCCCTTCTCAACTTAAACTCTTCTCTAAGTCTTCAGGCTCAACGCCTTGAAGTACGTTCCCCTCGACCTTAGGACTTGAACGTTCTCTGGTCCGCTCCTCGTCATCAGCGATACCGCCGCTCCGACTTGGCTGCTACTTAGCTCCTTCCTCTTTACTCTTGATCTCCGGGGACTAACGGCGTAACGGCGGTGTTGTTAATAACTTCACTACTGTCCCATTCGTCTTCCGCACTTAGGCACCTTGTGGCTTTGGCACGGTTACACGGTGTACATGATCTTAACAGTATGGCCACTTAAAGACTGTTGTTTGGACCTGATGTTGCCCTGAGGCATTGGCGCTATCTCCGTGAGTTTATTTACTGCCATGAAGTTCTGACAGATTCTCCACTCTGCTGGTTTAGTGGGCTCCACGTGTTCTGCCGGACTCGGGGTCTGTACTAGACGAGTAGGAAGACCCGTGGCTGCGCATTCCTCATTCAGCCTGTACATCAGTTCCTCTACTGTCAGCCCCATCCCTTCATGTGCCTTCTGCGCCAGAGTTAACGGCGACACGCACTTCACGTCTTCCGGGTTGCAACGCTCGATTACACCTGCTTCAAGGAGTTCATCAATCTTGGCATGCAAGTACTCTCGTTGGGGCGGTGTTAGGGACTTTTGCCTGACTTTCTTTGGGAGGGTGGCATTCTCTGGTACGTTCAGCCGGTGGACTGCGTTTTTTACTGGTCTGACTTCACCTACGAACAGCGCAAAGCAGTCGGCATAGCTACTCAAGAGCTGTTCCACCCTCGCTCGCTGGTCCACCGAAAGTTCCGCCCCAATTTTTACCTTGCGGAGAATTTCCTTTACATGCTCTGGCCGAAACGCCCCATTCTCTCCCTCATTGCGTGTGAACAGGTTTACATCGTCACTTTGGTCTAACGCGTCTGGGAGAAGTCCGGCCCTAGGGAGCTCAGGTTTGGGTATTCCTCGGCCTGCAGCATGCAAATCGGAACTGTGCGGGTTTGGTCAGCAAGGTGTGGGTCATCTGGTGGATTGCCTTTAGGAACTTCTCTCGAGGGGGGTATATTAAATCCCCCCACTGAGTCCGTACATATGCCGTTAGGCTCAAATTCAGCAGCATTCTTCCCTTGCACTCCATCCTGCATGTCAAACGTCGTCTTCGTAGGGTTTACGTCTGCATGGTGAGGCGAAAACTCTGCAAAGGAGGGGTCAATACAGGCGCCTTCAGCTGCTGTGACATCTGGTGAGACTTCCCTCGAGGGGGATGCGTTAAGTCCCCCCGGTAAATTCACGCTCAACCTCTTTGGAGGAACTGGCTCTTTGAGCCTATTGCACCAGAAGAACCACTTGCGTAGGCCAGGCTCTGCGCGCCTCTTTCTCAACCACTCCTTCCATTCAGCATCCCGTTGTTCATCCTCCAGTTCCCAAGCCTTCCATCGCTCCTGCTGCCGCTGTTCGAGCGCTTCTTGATGTTTGATGGCCTCCTCCCTTCGGATTCTCCTCGACTCCTTGAACCACTCCTCCATCTCGGCTTCCAACCTCCTTCAGTCTTCCTCTGTCATGCTCGTCGGTAGCTCTGGAGCCTCTTGAGGCATATCCCATCCAGCATGTGTGTGCTCTAGGTCTTCATCTGGGACCTCCTCGATCTGTGGATTTTGTCGTCGGGTGGGAGCTTCAAACCTAGGTAGGTACTGTCCGTCGATGTTAGCAACGTGTTCCCATTCTATGCGAAACAGGTTTTCAACTTCCCTGTCCAGCGGGGTTAATGCCTTCACGATAACCCCGCCCAATGGTCCCTCGCTTTCTTCGAGAACCGCCTGCACTGGGGCAGATGGCCTCGGTAAATCCCTGTCCTCTTCCTCCAATGTCCCTTTTATCGCGGCTCCAAGTCCTTCATTGAAGACCTCCCGTATATTCCCTTTCCGTCCTCGTAACAAAATGGAATCCTTTTGGTAGTCATGTACCGCTGCAAACTTTTCGAGGAGCGGTTTGCCGAACAGGAAGTTCCAACTACCACCACTATCAAACACTTCAAACCCCCCTTCGACTTCCGCGCCTTGATTGTTCACCCGACCCATCCAACACGCCTTTCCCGGGACTACACTACCATTTGCCATTCGAAATTTCTTCTGCGTTGCTGTCCACCCCCCTATCGACTTTCGCAGGCATTCGTAAACTTTGGTATCCATCGCTGCTACCATTGCGCCATCATCCACCATCACCTTCACCTCCACTTGCTGTCCCTCGTCATCCTTCAGATTGATCTCCATTGAGAATGGAGCACTAACATGGCTTCCGCCGTTGTGGACACCGTACACTTCAAGAATATTGGATTCGTTCAAGAAAGGTTGTACATTGTTCACAACTGATGTAATACCTAGGGTTGTACATTGTTCACAACCGACGTAATACCTAGGGTTACCCATTCACCACTCAGAACGTTAACCTGTCCCCATTTCCCGAATCGACCATTCCTTCAAAGATGGCTTCCGGGCCTACAATCTGTACTGCGTTTACTCGCGCTGGTCTACCCCCTAGCTCTCTTTGGCAGTAAGCTCTCCAGTCTGATTCCACCGGCGGGATCGTACCCGGCCTGGGGCAGGGAACGTCGATTCCGTGGCGAGCTCCTCCACACTTGAAGCACTCTCCCGAACATACGGCCTCCGTTCCTGGCTTCAGTGGGACAATAGTCATCTCAGACAGGGCACTATCCACCCCATGTCTGGATGCCCAGTCCAACAGCTCAGCTTTCCACACTGCCATCCCCTTGGGTGTATCGGGGTGTTGTACCTTAGCTGCAATGCCCCGGCGGAGTGTACTCTTGCGTGGGTCATCTAACACTGTGAATACTCGCCGAGGTTTGCGACCTCCCATGCTTGTAGGGTAAGCCGGCCTGGTTCTACTTGGGGAAGGCGAAGGGGGAGATGCGATTCAAGTTGCTGCGAAGGAAGTGGCGAGCCTGGTTTGGGGGGTTTCTGGGACGATCAGTGGAACAACTTTGCTAGCCTCGTGTTCAGCCTCCACCTTCAGGACACTCCACTTCACCTTTTTTATAGCATCTGTGAACTCCGTCCAGTTGTCGTGCTCTTCGTCAATCGTTTTCTTCAGTGCGTAGGGTAGGTTCTTCCAAACCATCCCAATCAACTGCTTTGTTTTTTCCACTTCGGCACCCTTTGCTAGACGGAGCAGGCGATCAGCCCACCACTGGTGGTACGGCTGGTTAGTGTCGTCGCTGGTCATCATGATTTGCTCATGAGTGATTCTTTCTGCCTCCAGGCTGGTGAGATACAGCTTTGCTGACTTTTTTTCCTTCTTTTGTGACGGGAAGCGGAGGTGGAACTTCGCCTCAAACCCCTCCCAGGATCCAGTTCTATCGGTGGCGGTTAGGTCTTCGGTGTACCATTCCCAAGCCCAGGAGTCTCTCTTGAGGTATGGTTTGATACAGCTGGCCAGGTCCACGCGCGGTGTCATCAACTCGGTCATCTGAACCTTGAAGTCCTGCAAGAATGTTGCTGGTTGGATCGGGTCGTCTGGGTCTCCAGAGAACCGGGCTAGAGGTTGTTGAGCAGCCATGGGTCTACAACGGTTTTCGGAAGGTATAGGTTGAGTCTGCTTTCATGTCGTGGGGCTTGGTGATGTTGACTGCTGTCTGGAAAATTTTTTCACCAGAATTTAATGGTGTTAAGTCTTCAAAATCCGATTCGCTGCCTGTGCTACAAATAACAGCCTCCGTCCTGGGTCGTTCGTCAGTGTCAGAGAGGTTTGTCGAGGTAAAGCGACCGTCGGATCCGCGTATCAGAGCCAGGTTGTTAGGCGTGTCAAGTTTTTCGGGTGTCTGTTTCGAATCGAGGAAACTTTTGTCTTTTGGCTGCGGCTCAAATCGCTGTTGTCACCAAGATGGACTGGGGGATCTCACTATCTGATAGGACAGATGGACTCGATGTGCTTGATTGACCTACTCTACCTACTGAATATGTGCTCTACTACTACGAACAAACAGATGACAACATGAATTTAGATAAGATATGAGATAAGATAGTGAGCTCTGGGAGTCCCTACTCCACTGGTCAATCTTCCTTCTAGGTCTGACCTCTTACTTCTCATATGTATTAAAATCATGTATACTAGTAAGCTGTGCCAAGGGCTAATCAGTATCTAAGCATGAGAGAAGGAGAAATGTATGATAAGCTCAGTGTTCACAATGTAGATGGTGAAACAACTATATTGGAGTCTCGTAGCTACCTGAAAGAAGGAGAAATATATGATAAGCTACGAGAGGCGTAAGTAAGGATCAAGTATGAGTAAAGTCAGTAAACATACCTCAGTGTTCACAATGTAGGTGGTGAAACAACTGAGGTACAGATGAGTGAGATACGCAGTATATCTGTAAAGTGTAATAGGAGTATGGTGATAAGGAAAGATAAGCAATAAGTAAGTATTGGAAATGAAAGGGGCAGGAATGGTATGAATATGGTATAAGTGCACTAAGGTGCACAGGTCACCTCCAACACTCCCCCAGACAAGAGTGCCCAGGTGGGAAGAATGTTGAGTTCAGAAAGGTAATGGTAGTGAGCATCATGGGGAAGTGGTTTGGTGAAAATATCAGCAGCATTGGCATTTCCACGGATGAACTCGACATCAATTTCTCCAGATTAAATGAGCTCACGGATGTAATGTTCCCAAATGTCAATGTGCTTGACCTTCCCGTGATTGCATGTATTCATTGTCAATGAAACTGCACTTTGATTATCCCCCTTCAAGATCCCCGGCTTCTCCTGAGGTAAGCCAACCTTCTCCATCCACGAGTGAGTCCATTTCAGCTGCTGTGCGGTGCAGGTGAGGGACACATATTCAGCTTCAATGGTCAACAAAGCCACAGTGGCCTGGCATTTGGAGCTCCAACAAACCAAACCACCTGCCATTGTGAAAATGTATCCTGACATAGATTGCTTGGTGTCATGGCAGCCACCATAGTTCGCATCAATGAATCTGACAGGCTTGAGTGGTTGGTCTGGAATATGTGATGCCGTAGTTCAGCGTCGACCTGATATAGCCAATGGTATGCATAAGGGCTTGCCAGTGAGTGGGACCAGGGTTGGATTGGAAGCAAGCGAGTAGGCTGACAGCGAAAGCAAGGTCAGGTCAGGTCGCAATCTGAGCCCACATTATTGAGCCCAATACTTGACGATAAGGTTTGTCTTGCATCTCACTATGTTCAGCATTGTTTGGGGGTGACATGGTGTTGTCAAGGATGATGCTGAGTGGGAGAGGGGTAGAGCACAAGGTGATGTGTTCAAGCCCAAGTTGTTTGATTATGTTTTCAAAGTAGGGTCATTGCGACAGTTGAATGGTTCCCATGTCGAGGCCTTGGTCGATGGGCATTCCGAGAAAATACTTATTTTCCCCCAACATCTTTGATCTCCCATTCATCACCCAGTTCCTTCATCCGACACTCTGCTTCCTCCTTACTAGATGATGCACCCCAAACATTGTCAGTGTAAGTATCCATCATTGTGAAGGACCCATCCTTCAACCACTTTGTGCATACGCAAGGATCAGCATGAGAGGTGTAGTAGCCCAGATCATTATATGTGGCTGATAGCATCTCATATCAATCATGGGCTCCCTGCATGGTACCATAGATGGTATGAACTAACTTACACACCTTATCTTCTCCCCCAGGAATGAAATATCCAGGAGGTTGTTGCATGTAGATATCCTCCATGGTCTTGCTATTGAGATATGCAGACACAAAGTCAACCTGCCAGAGGTGAAGTCCAAGGTGCGCCGCTATAGCTGCAGACATTCAAACAAACTTCAAGTGCATAACAACTGCCCAAGTCTCATTGTAGTCCAGGCCGAGCTGCTGAGTATAAGCCTTTCCAACCAGCCGAGCCTTGTCCCTGATTGCGACGCCTTCTCCATTCCACTTCACATCATACACCCACATGCAATCCATCACATTGACCCCGGGTGGCTTGTTGACAAGATCCCATGTGTGTTTTTTCATGAGGGTGTTGTACTTTGTGTCCATAGCCTTCGTCCACCATGCAGAATCCATATGCATAGCATTGTTGTACAAGCGAGGAATAGAGTGAGATGAATTGGTTGCAGTCATGCATGTTATATAGCCATCCAGTTTGACAGACAGCTGGGCCATTGTGGCACATGGGCATACAGTTTCAGCGGCCCATTCCACACCCTGACTTCTGGCATTCATTTCTGACTGTAGATACTCGCATGAGTAATCGTTGGAATACTGATTCTTGTGGTGCGACGGGGTTCTGGAGGCAGCACTGTTGGGGTATGTATTATGTCCATGCCTCGGTGCCCCACTCCGCCGCTCGGAACTCCAAGATCCTCCATTTTGTCATGCCTCGCCCCGAATTGCATAGCCCACAAGCTCCTTAACATAGTTCCCAGCCTCCCCAACCTAGTTCCCAACCTCCCCAGCCTCCTTCTCTGGACCACAATATCCCTCCCAACATCCCGTTAGACCTCCTTACTGCTAGAACAACCTCCACAATCATTAGCTTCCCTCAAATCAACTGAGCAATGTTCCTACAGGGCCCTGGAACCATGTACATGCATCTATCATTCCGTCCTCATGTACTTAGAAACCCCATTAAGTGCTTGTTTCATACTATGTTCCTTTGTTAACTTCCTTATATGTATTTAAGCAGTCTCGTAGCGTCCAGAAGCCCAGCTTGGTATATTTTGAACACACACCCTTTTGCATAGGTTCAGTCCCTGGAACTATGTTAAGGAGCTTGTGGGCTATGTGTTCGGGGCGAGGCATGACAATACTCTGATGCTGTCGGAGGAACTTTGAGGATCAAATCTAGAAAGGGCCTTGGAATTCTGTCGTAAACTGGTCGCAGATAACCGGGGAACCTCGTACATGGTTCAATGTGAACCAGAAGGTGCAGGGGAGGTCTCCCTAGAGCAATATGACCTGAAAAGGCAGTTCCGAAGCTCTGATGGTCATTTAGCGGCACGCAAACATTCATCGCCCAGGAATAACGAGTTTCCTGGATCTGATAACCCTGGCAATACGGCCACGAGGAGTCCCCAGTTATGATCGGGGACCTCCCCCCAGCGTAATTTGCAAACAAAACCCGTCACACCAGTCTCAACACAGCGATACCAGTTTGGCGAAGTAAGGATGGATGGCGAGCAACATTCATCACAGATCTCCGGACACAATCTGACAGCTCGGCTGGTCCCTAACCCTGTACACATTCCTCCCAGATTGAGCAATCCATCAGTCATCCCCTATCAAGGGTCGGTATCAATGCAATCTCAGGCAGTGGGAGGCAAAAGTAGAAGGGGGCCGAACCAACAAAGGATGTTGGCAGTTCACGAAGAGGCAATACCTCCGCAGGGAGCTCCTTTTGGAACTTCCCTTGTGATGGGAACTCGGACGAACTGACCTGGCACAATCATTGAACCGGCGCATTCTCAGGAGACAACAATAATGATCCAACAACAGGCTCGAGTCATTGAGATGCTTCAGGAGCAACTCCGTGAGGTAATGAAAGGGTTCACAGCAGAGGAGATACTGACTGGTGGACCATTCTCCAAAACAGGAAATACATCGGGATTATTCGGGCAAGCACCCAGGGTAACGAGAGAGGACACGAGGGGGGGTCCCTCTCCTGTAGTTCCCCAGCCAAGGAGCTGGCAAGCTACGGAGCCAAGATCCTTTAATAGATGCACTCCTATGGGAGTTAAGGAAGGGAACCCTCAGGGAGAACAAACATTCCCAGTACCGGCCACCCCCAGTGTGGATAGACAACGTATTCAAGAGTGGGGGGCCCGCGTGCAAAGAGCAGAACTAGGGGAGTATGTCAGACCAGAGGGAGGGATGTACACATTAGGGGACGGTGGAATAGCTGTAAGTGGAGGAGGCAATGGAGGGTTTAACCTCCCTCCTAGAGTACCTCCCCCACATCTCTCTAGTCAATCGAGAGATTGAGAACGACCTCTGAGCCAAGGGGGGTGGGATCAAAGGGGACAGGAGGGGCGCCACCTCTGCCTCCTCCTCTGCTACCACCCTCAGGGGGACCAGGTGATAACAATTCTGAGGGTTCCGATGAAGGTGTCAAGTCCATGCCTCGGGCCTCCATTCCGCCGCTCGGTACTCCGGAGATCTACCTTTTATTGTAATCTCACTCTTATTGTTCTTTCTCGCTACACTGTCATGCCCTGCCTACAACCAGACCAGCCCCAGTACCCGCCACACGTTGTCACCACTCTATCCACCTCCTGCACTTCCCCTACACCTCCCAAGTCACCTCCCCAAGTACCATCATGCACCTCCATCCTGCACCTTCCCCACACAAGTACCACCATATACCTACCCAAATGTCCTTCACCGACACGCTGTCATACCCCGACCGCCACCAGATCCGTCTCAGCACCGACCAGGAGCTCCCGCATGCCGTAAACCCCCAAGACAGATCCGTTACCCGAGCACCTGATGACTTCCCCAACACATGTACATTCCCTGGCGCGCATACAGGACCCCCTACAGCAACTCCATTAAGTATCAATCTCGATTACCGCCTCATGTTCACTAGATCCCCTGATGTTCCCTTGTCCACTTCCCGTACCTATTTAAGTAGCTCTGACACGTCCCCAAGCCCCAGCTTGGTATATTTTGAACACACACCCTTTTGCATAGGTCCAGTCCCTGTCCCTTTGTACCTGCTAACCATACGGATTTCTCTTTACTCTCTGTTTCTCTACCTCTGTTTCTCTTTACTCTCGTCTACTGTCTCTCTGATCATCTATACGATCAAATATACGCTTTTACTTCAAGTCTAAGCCATCCGAGTGAGTCTCCGAGCTCCCTCAAACATTACTAAAGCTCCCCAACGCCTAAACGCTTTGGTGAGCTACCCTTCCCCAAACCTCCCAGAGCTCCCTAGCTACTTCGTAAGCTTCGGGACCTCTATCTAAGTAACGTCGAAGCTACCCCTCACATCGAACTACGTATCGCTTCTCCGTTACCACCTCCCACACTCGAGGATGCCCATCCTCAAGCCCAGTTCCCAGGGACCTACCCTCCCTGGCATATACCTTCTCGGGAGCTTACACTCTCGAGACCCATTCACATCTACGACCTACTCGATCCTATATTGACGTTCTAGCGAGTACAACTCCTACTACGCAATATCGTACGGTCCCGCACTCTTACTTAACCTCCCTACGCCTTAGGGACCTCCCTGGACCTCCTAGGAACACCCTCAAGGGTCATCATCCCGTCTTCCAGCCACTACTAGGTCATTCCCGTCCTTGGTCGCGGTTCCCGTAGCTCCCTTCGAGCTCCAGCCTGCTCCTAGCATGCTACAACATAAACCTTCGTATACCAAAACCTACCCTAAGACCTATTCTGACCCAGGTCTTACATACACATACCCTTTTGTTCTAGTCCCTCCTTATTGTCTTTTACTTTACCCTGCAGGTACTACTCGTATAGCTCCTAGTAGTTAGTCCAGCGCTCCGCACCGATGCGCCGATCCGTAGATATAAATACTGCCTGTATGCTACTGTAGTTCCTCAGTTTAATTATCAACTTAGATCAACTTAGATCTCCCTTCTCAACTTAACTCTTCTCTAAGTCTTCAGGCTCAACGCCTCAAAGTACGTTCTACTCGACCTTAGGACTTAGACGTTCTCCGGTCCACTCCTCGTCACCGGCGTTACCGCCGCCCGACTTGGCTGCTACTTAGCTCCTCTTCCTATACTCTCGATCTCCGGGGACTTACGGCGTAACGGCGGTGTTGTTAATAACTTCACTACTGTCCCACTCATCTTCCGCACTTAGACACCTTGTGGCCCTGGCACGGTTTCATGGTGTACATGATCTTAACAGAAGGGGAACACACCTAATCGGGTAGGAACGGTGGCAGGAGAGAGGAGGACAGAGGGGAGCTTCCCACTGGAGCTCCTGAAGCACCTCCAACCCATTATGACCCTGACCAACCCTGGTACTATGATCCAAGGCAAGGTTGGCACCGAAAAACAGCACCGAGAAACCCCAACAAAGGACGAAATATGTGGGAGAGCAACAAGGAAAAAAATCGAATCACCATCGAGTTGAAACTCGACGTTGGTAAAATCGAGAGCTTTGCAGGTGACGACCGTTCTGCATGGAAAATGTGGGTCCTTGGCCTGGAAAGGATGTTTGGGGTACGTCCTACCATCTACGCTCAAGAAAAGGACAAGTGCGCTTCAGCAGCCACTCTCCCACTTTGATACGTTGAATGGGCAACGACTGAGAGGGGAGCATACCTGCCTCGAAGACTGGACAGAGTTTAAATGGGAATTCGGTTCCAAGTTTGGACCCATCGACGAAGCAGACAAGGCAAGGAGGAGGTTGGCCTGGATGAAGCAAATGCCTAAGGAAAGTTTTGCCAATTTCTTCATTCGCTTCAACAAATACGCTCCTCTGACCGGCTTTAATGACGAGGCACTGATAACATAGCTCAAGAAAGGGGTAGCTCCCTGGTGGCCTCTACAGGTTGTTACCAGAAGGGAAGAACCTTGATCCTACGACGAGTGGACTTGAGTGTTCACAAAGCTGGACGGAGCTGTACGTGTGCAAGCAGAGAGCTTGAGGAACCTCCACGGTGAAAAAACACTGCAAGGATGGCTGAGTGGTTTCCCCGGACTGGAGCTAGCACCAGAAGCTCCTTATAAGTCCCCCTTGCATAGGGAGTGAGATCCAGCTGATGTCTGGACCTCCAATCCAAAACCAGCTGGGACAGGGTGGTTCCAAAGCAGGTCCAACTGGAAAGAAGGACAACAGAGGGCTTCCGCAGCTTAGGGGGATGAGGAAAACTATTATGATGAAAATCGAGGGGAAGAGGAAAACTGCTGCGACTGCAGAGACGGAGGAGAACAGACCAAAGCGGTCCTTCGGGCAGGAGTTACTGATACCGGGAGGAAATGGACTCCTGAGGAAAGAGCGGAGAAGTGGAGGAGATGAAGACAAGAGCTCTGCATGCGTTGTGGATGAAAGGAGCACTGGGCAAAGGACTGCCCTAACCCGGAATCATTGGAACATCCAGTGGAGGATCAAGGGAGCTCAGAGAGAGCTTCCAAGGCCAATTCAACTCGAGGAAGAGGGATGACCAACCAAGGGGGAGGTCGTAAGGACGATTCAACTTGTCCTTTAGAACAAATTCGTGCCGGGATCATGGTAGAGGAATGGGAGGGAATGGACAACATCTGGAACATTCAGGTCCTAGCCTCACCAAAGGAAGGCGAGCAAGATCTGTTGGACGAAGCGGGAAATGGGATGGAGGCTTTGAGGTAGATCAGGGCGAACTGCGAAGCCCTGCAACACCTTTGCCTACCACAATAAGAGCTGCACTCGTGGGGAGTCAGCCAGCTCGTCTTACATCCCGATTCTATAACTCCTTCATTGTCCTTACATGCTTTCCGTTCTCCAACCTCAATGAAGACAAAGAATACGCCACACTAGTGGATAGTGGAGCAACTAGATGCTTCATAGACAGAACCGTCGCTATGCGACACCCCGAAAACCTGGTCGACTTAACGAACGGCATTCCTTTGGAGCTGTTCGACGGGTAACCTACCTCCGCAGGATTGATAACTCAGACCTACACTGACCAGATCGGCTTTGCAGATGGAACAATTCACAAGGTAGAGTTCCTAGTAACTTGCTTACACCCCACGGCTCCAATTGTGCTAGGACTACTGTGGCTATGCATGCACAACCCAGTAATTAACTGGAAGGAACTTTGTCTGACGTTTCAGGACCGAAACGTCCGAATATCAGCAGCCCTTGCGGCGGAAATTGTCCAACCAGGAGCCGAGGGAGGTACTGAGGAGCTAGAAAGGGGGGTAAATGGCGAGAAAATACACAAAGGAACTCTCCAACAACCTCCTGAAGCTCCTCTTAAAGCTCCAAGGACAAAGGTGAAGTTGGAGGAAGTGAAGGACGAGGAGTATGAGTCAAGACAACCGGGTCTACACAAATTATTCCCCTCAGAAAAAGATCTAGGACCAGACAACCCAATCCTTATGGGAATCAATGAATGGCTAGCGTTCGTGAGCAAAAGCATGGAACAAGAGGTGGAGGAAAACCTCCAGGCCGGACGATCTGTCATGGAGGCAGGAACCCCGCAACTAGCGAAGGATTCAGAAGAGGCCTATCAAAAGTGGAAGAGTAGAGACACAGAATGATCCTCTTCCTGGCCTGGAGCTAAACAAAAAGTCAGATGGAGGAAGAAAAGGAGGAAGGACGGACCTTGCCCAGATCTCCCCACCTTAGACATTGAAAGTCTGAACATACCCAAGATTCCTTCAAGGTCTGGTCTAACTCCCAAGGGTTCAATAACGCGTAATAATTTCCGAAGAAAGCAGCTCATAGTGGGTACCCATGTGGTGGAACGAAAATCGGACCCCACCATACAAGGGAAGCCCATCAACTTAATAGGAGCTGCTGGGATGGATCGCCTATTGAGGGAGGGAACCCCAGCGTATTTCCTTCATATATCGCCCACAAAGGAAGAGTTCCTTACCAAAGAAATGCTCCGGGTGAGTGATAGCAGTTCCCCAGAGGAAGTGCAGCAACCAAAGGATCCTGAGAGTGGGAACCCTAGTCCGGAACAAGGGGAGGTCGTCAAGGAACTCGACAAAGAAGCATCGAAGTGCCAAGAGAGGGAGAAGTTAAAGAAATACATTCCCATCCAATACCAAAACTACCTGGATGTATTCTCACCTGGAGAAGCAAGGACGCTACCTCCGCACCGACCTTACGATATCAAAATCGAAACAGAGGGGCATGTGATACCTCCCATAGGGGAGCTCTACAACATGTCCGAGAAGGAGCTGAAATCTCTTAAGGAGTACATTGATGAGATGTTACGATCCTCCAGTTCCCCCATGGGAGCTCCCATTTTGTTTGCCAAGAAAAAGGATGGTACCCTACGACTATGTGTCGACTATTGAGCTCTGAACAAGATCACAAAGAAGAATAGGTACCCCCTCCTACTGATAGGCACCTTAGTGGATCAACTGCGAAAGGCGAAGATCTTTACAAAGATCGACCTCCGCGCAGGATACAACAACGTCAGGGTAGCCCAGGGACATGAATGGAAGACTGCATTCCGAACTCGTTATGGGTCATTCGAGTACCTGGTAGTGCCTTTTGGGCTCACGAATGCTCCCTCGGCGTTTCAATTCTTCATGAATGAGATCTTTCATGACATGGTGGACGCTTGCATGGTGATTTACTTGGACAACATACTGATTTATTCAGACGATGAAGTATCCCATGTGGAACACGTTAGGAAGGTTTTGAACAACTATGGGCGAACCACCTCCATGCAAAGCCGGAAAAATGTGCGTTCCACGTTGACACTGTTGAATACTTGAGGGTGATTATATCACCCCTGGGAGTATCCATGGACCCAGAGAAAGTGAAGGGGGTAATGGACTGGCCAAAACCAAGGATGGTTAAGGAGCTCCAGGCGTTCCTCGGATTTGCAAACTTCTATAGGAGGTTCATAGACAACTACTTGGGAATCACCAAGGTTTTCACGAAGCTCCTCCGAAAAGATTCAGTGTGGAACTGGACGCCACAGTGTAGCAGTGCCTTCGAACTCCTGAAGTCAGCTTTCTCTGAAGCCCCAGTTTTGGAACATTACGACCCAGACCTACCGGTAATCCTCGAATGCAATGCCTCCGACTTAGCTATAGCAGGAATCCTATCACAACTGGATCCCAAAATGGGGCAGATACACCCCATTGCCTTCCATGCACATTCCATGATCTCTGCAGAGCTGAACTACGACATCTACGATAAGGAGCTCCTAGCCATCGTGGACTGCTTTAAACAATGGAGGGCATACTGCGAAGGCTCGCGACACCAGATCCAGGTATACTCGGACCACAACAATCTCCAATACTTCTCTACCACGAAACAACTGACAGCGCGACAAGCTCGGTGGGCAGAGCTCCTTTCAGGATACGATTTCATCATCAATTATCGACCAGGGAGGTTGGGAGCTAAACCAGACGCGCTCACCAGGAGATCAGATGTATACCCAAAGAAGCTCAAAGGGACCAAGTCCTATCAGGAAGAGAAAGGGTACTGATACCTCCAGAATGCCTGAAC